GGGGAAACATGTCAGAAGGATCCTTTAAATTTGTCGAACCTCTTAACGGAATCCCTTTATGAAGAGCTTTGAGTGGGTTGGTTTATTTCCTTTTAATTCCGTTATAATTGCTTATCTTTTGTCAAAAGATAAGCAATTATAACGGAATTAAAAGGAAATAAACCAACCCACTCAAAGCTCTTCATGTCAGAAGGGTATAACTCGAAACGTAAACAATGACTTTGAACGCACCCACGAAATCTGACCACACCAGCTCATAGAACAAACATTTTCTCTGTCAGATGATTTAGTTAGTTTGAGTGGGTGTGTTGTCATTCGCAAGAAACCGATGATCCAAGTCATTGTTTACGTTTCGACTTAGACCCTTCTGACACGTTTCCCTTGATATATACTTCCCATTATTCTCATTAAAAATTCACGTACAAATTACATGAAAAGCTTTTTAAACAAAACGGAATGTCACGTAAAACTTACCAGATATCCAATAGTTTTCATCCCGATTTCACGTAAGCAGTACGTGGAAATCAGGTCTTATTTACCTGACTACATCGGACGTGAATATTTTTCAGAGTGATCAAGTCTCGGCTGCGTTCCTATACGTCGTCAGATGAAATTATTTGGCGTCGTACGTTGGCACTTGAGTACATAAAGGGGCTGTAGTACCGAGAGGTGCTGGAGTTCCAAAAGATGTACCAGTTGGATTACCAAGGGGGATTGTTGCTGGACTAACACTAGATGCGGGGGCATCAGAAGGAAGCCATACCACGTGTTTTGCCCGAGTATCCTCGAATTCAATTAACACAATCCCCTGCGGCCAAGTGCCGTTGCACCCCGGCTGCCTCTTTGAGTTTCGAAAAAATGGGATGAAATTCATCGATCTAAGGTCGGTGCCTTTTTCACCAATGAAATCACTTTTTTTTTTTAATTGAGTAGGGAAGAGCGCTACTTCGTCGTAATCGCCCATTTCCGTTCTATCGAGCAGAAATCATCAATAATATCAATGATTTCACAATGCACAAAACAATAATACGTTTGTTCCGATCCGTTAAGTGGACCCTACACGATTGCTTTTATTGACAATAATCGTATTGTCAATACATTCTATATTGACGTCAATACATCGAGATTGACAATATTTCTGAATTCACATCATCAATATTATTGTCAATAATTCCCTTTCGCATCAATATATTGATGCGTGTGGGGTTTACTTTAGTTCATTAGCTACAACATAAATCCTATTAGAGCGCATTGTATGCATATTTACGCTCATTGTTCTCAAAACAAAAGAAGCGCTCCTAGCGCATCCCCTTTTTCTCCGTTTATCCGTAGGACGAAGGAAATCTAATGGCGTTTCAATGCGTTTGTACGGAATTGAAACGCGTAGGACGAATTTAGAAGCAAGAAGCAGTGTTAGACTTTTAATAATATCTTAAAATTGCTTGACTCTTTATCAAATCCAACGGTACGTATGAAAAGGTGGATAAATTTAGAAGTTATCTTTGATGAAAACATTCCATGTTTTGTTCAAACCCTTTCCAAAAAGCGTGGTAAAGTGCGCGATGTCCTTAGTAGGACGGAAATCAGATCAAAAACCCTACTTTACACTGATGAAGTCTGCAAGTAGTAGACGAAATACGCGTATCTGTCAAAAGATAAGCAATTATAACGGAATTTAAAGGAAATAAACCAACCCACTCAAAGCTCTTCACTTTATTTGGTTCATCAGTCTGCAGACCATCACGAACGAGATTTTCGACCACCCCGTCTTGCTTTACGCTAGGAAGAAAGCGGGACAGATAAATCCAGGGCAGCCAGGAGGATTAACAGCTAGCGTTTCGTTGTTCTCGTGGCAAGTTCGTTGTAGCAGAGAGTTGTAGAGAGAGCGGTACCTTAAGAACGTGATGAGTTAGGGCACAAAAAACATTCTGGGCTTTAACTTGGGAGACAATAAGATTAGGTAAAAATTTTCTGTCCTAGAAAGTCGTATTGCACAGTATAATTTATATCCAGAAATTCCTTCTTCTTTGGTTGTGTTACGTCCCTACTGGGACTTTACGCCGGCCCTCAACTTAATGTTCTTTGAGTATTTAGTTGTTAATTGAGAGCTTTCTATGCATGTACTATTTTTGAATAAGGATAATTGTGTGGCAAGTACAATCATACTTTATTAAGTCGAGAAATTTTTCAACCCGAAATCGAGCCCAGCCGCCTTCAGAATGGTATTGCTTTATAACTACGGCTTTACTGCCTGAGCTAAGGGATATCCAGACATAGGCATGCTACTAAACTAGCTTCAGTTCAGCAGATAAAAAAGGGCTTATGGCCTGTTTACATATGTGCTGAGTATCTGTGTTTTTATGGATTTTATCAAATCTGAACGATTAAAACTGGATAGAGCTGGAATTAGGGCGTAACAGCTTTTGTAATCAATGACTTCTCTCGATGATTTCTCGGAAGTCATGGAGAGCTATGGCAAATCGACATCACCATCGAGTAGAGGAAGACTTCTCCTACCCGATGGATATGTTGGTATGTGTAGGCGTGCCTTGAATTCCAAGAAATCAACAAGAGAAGTCATTGTTTACAAAGGCTGTTACGCCCTAATTCCAGCTCTATCTAGAAAACTTTAAAATTGATAGTGTAAAAAAAAAATATTCGATTTCGGATTTGTGTCTGAAGGACGAAAAGTGGTAGAGGCTAATAGGCAAACTGAAGGTCATCATGATGGAGTGAATCAAGCGGGCCGCCATCCAGGAAGTGGAAGCGTTTATTCATAAGATTTTGAAACATGAAAAGGCAAGATGTAACGGATTATTCAGACAGTGATAGATGCACATGAGGATCCAGTGGAGATGCCTAGGCAAAAGGTTACAATATTCATGAAGAGATACGAAAAACATCGAAAAGTGATAGAGAAAGAGAGAGGACTCAACGAGAATCGAGATGACAAAGATTCAGCAGCAAGAACATAATACATAAGCGGTGAGATCTAACTGATTACAACTAGATATACAAATATGAAATGCATCCTACTAAATACGTGCCATCTACTAAGCAGGAATTGCTTTGATGATGGAAATGTACACGCAGTACCAATATACATTTTATATCGGTACTACGTGTATGCGGGGCTTGTTGTAAGTGAAAGTAATCTCGGAATGGACGTGAGTGACCAGGCATTCTGAAATGGGTTACTGAATCTCAACAGAGCTATCACCTTTCAACTTCCGGGCTAAAATTGTTTGCAATGGGATCAGTATAAGATAATAATAGATTATATTGCAAACATTTTTCTTCCATAAAACACTGCCGGACAGTGGAAGTTGGATTGTATAACCAAAGGTTTGATAACGACATGCTCACCAGCACGAGAATCAGCACAAGTGTAAACACCCCATTAATGGCTAGTCGAAGGAAATGAGTAGCGCTAATGGCGACCCACAACCTGAGCATTTCACGTATTTCAGCACACACGTGACGTCAGTTAGTCCAAGTCCGGTAAAACTGGATTTTCTCTGAAAATGTACATTTCCGAAGTGAACGTTCTTTCATTCAAGTCTGTCTAAAAACGTTTGAAGTTTAGTTTTCCTTTTCAAGCACAGAAGGGGGCCGTAGGGCCAGTTTTTCAGTGTAAAATCACTGTCCACTGTCTGAAAAACGTTTGCAGTTTAAACAAAAAACACATGTACTATACTGCCGCTATTCGCATAACAGTCCTACACTCTGAAAAATCTTCACGTCTGAATTACGTGAAAACATAGGTGGTTTTCGTCCACCCATTTTTTCACGTAACTTTTGCCGGAATTACACGTAGTCGATCAAAATCCAGATTCGATTATCTACGTGATTAGTCAGGTAAATAAGACCTGATTTCCACATACTGCTTACGTGAAATCGGGGTGAAAACTACTGGACAACTGGTAACTTTTATGTGACATACCGTTTTGTTTAAAATGCTTTTCACGTAATTTGTACGTGAATTTTGAATGATAATAATGGAATAATATAGAAGCAGTCAATCCACGTGTTAAACATAATGCTTATATCTACTCATAAAATTGTAAATTATTGACTAATTGTTTATTATGAGGTAGAAACGTGTATAAGTTTTTTTTTTATTTCTGACAAGCAGCAAGGTTTGCAGACCCAAAATGCTGATGCTACCGTCTGAAATTATAAAACTAGAAAAGGCGATATATAATCATAAATCAATTAATGTAAAAAATAAAATTACCGTCCAATATTTACAGCAAACTGCTGGAAAATCCACGTCCACGCTCGGTGACGCCATATTGATTTTGTTTGCGTACCTGAAAATCACGTAAATCCCGTTTTGCGGAAATATTGAAGTCCCAAACACACAAACACAAATACACTAAATCTGTTTACGTGAATATGCGGTCGATTTCACCAACATTTTTAGTGGACATGACGTGCAATGCAGGTCAAAGTTACTAACGTCACGTAACATTTGAGATTTTCTAAATACAGATCAGTTACGTGATATTTCACGTAAATCTAACGTGAAGATTTTTTAGAGTGTATGTAGATAGGAAATCCATAGGATATGGGACTGTTATGCGAATAGCGGCAGTATAACTGCTCATCGCAGTACCAGATGGGGGTCCTATCTCAGGTGAAACAATAATTAGTAATTTGGAACTCATGTAGGTCAAGAACTACATGCAAATTGCATTGGTGCTACGTGTAAATTGCATTGGTGCGTTTTTCAGATTGCGAAAAGTAGTCGTTACAAAATTCCTTTTGCTATTTTACATACGATGGCAACAGCTTTCTGCAATCTAAAATGATGTGTCGAAAAAACTGGGTTTGAATTGTTAGAAAATGTACCAACATAAATTGCGCCTTAAATATTAGCTTTTCAAATAATTCAAACTCGAAAAAATATTAGTTTGAAAGCTTTCCTAAATAATCATTAAACTAGTAAGTCTCATATGTAATCTGCGTTTCACATCAAGGCATAACACAATCAAACATTAGTTGAATAACCCCTTTATTGTAATTACAAACAAGAGTCATTTATTATCTACTTGTAGATCATCGTCACGGCACCCAACCATCATTCTTCACATCCAGAAAACCGATGGAGAATTCCTGAGCTTTGAGCTGAGTGTATCAATGTTCCATAGGCTACGCTACAATGTTGCATCTTTGCTACATGAACTACAAACCCTAGAAAGGAGGCAGAGTGTGAGGAAATCATAGAAAAACAACCTTATATTCTTATCAGCTTAGTGCTGTTATTAACTCACAATATTCTAGCACTTCGAACGGATGATCGATTGAAAATAAACAACACCATTCCAATACACCGATAATCCTTCAATCTACTGAGAAAGCCTAAATATGTTCGGTGTAATGTTTTTTGCCACAGAGCTCGCGTAATCTACTGGCCGCTTGTTCGGGTGTGAGATCTCTTTGAGGCTGACAAAGCAATTCGAATCCCACCATAAATTTCCGCACTGTGGCCGAACGGAGCAACGGCGGATAATAGATAGCATGCAGAGTCCAGTGCTTATCGTTTTGACTGGTTAAATCTCCCGTTGGTGCCCCATGCCAGCCCATACTATACGGGAATGAACACTTGAACAGGTTGTCGTATTTTGTGGTTAATTCCTTGATGACAATAGCCAAGTTATTGATTTGCTGCAAGCTAAGATCAGAAATTCGGCGATTTCCATTACGTGAGATGATCATTGTCTCGAAAGGCCAACTAGCCCAAAATGGTACAACCACCAACCAATCCACATTTTCGATGACAACCCGTTCCTGAAACAAATATCAAATCGGATTCCACTTAATTGGCTTATCGTTTTACAGTCATTCAAGATCATACCTTTTTCGTTATCTCCTTATTGGCATAGTCATCGAGCAATGCAGTGCCATGCTTCTGGTAATATTCCCGTAACTTTTCATCCTTTATGCGGGGTTCATTGGGGAAAAACGAACATGCCCAAATCTGACAATGCGGATGAGGGTTCGAGCAACCCATACTGGCACCCTTGTTCTCGAAAATCTGTACCCAGGTGTACTTGCTGGCCAGTGTTTTGAATTCCGCTATCCAAGCATCAATGACAGTTCGGATTTCCTTCGGTGTCATAACCGGAAGGGTCTTATTGGACTTGGGGAGAAAACACATCACCCTGCAAGTTCCACGGGCCCCAGCGGTTTGAAACAAGGGATCATCGCTCTCCGGCGGCAAAGGTACGTCCTCTAGCAATGCCGGAAAGTCATTCGTGAAAACGAATGTAGAAGTGTAAATAGGATTTTTCTGGAAATTAAATTCAATTTCAGTATAGTTTACGTGATCGACAATCGTTTATTACTTACGCTTCCATTGGAACGGGTAACACCAGGACATAAGGGATTGGTTGGATCAAACTCGGGTATATCGAGTAGTTGTGGATGCTCTTCCTGTCCGGACCATGGGCGCCTCATGCGATGTGGACTAACCAGAATCCATTGCCCATTCAGAGGATTGTAACGCGTATGCTGGTGCTCGGTAGGTTCAAAGCTGGCCATTCCTGCTAGTTTGTGTTATAATAATCGATCGAGTTCGCGGATAGTCCAAAGTCAACTGATTGGTCAATTGGTAGAAAACAGCAAAGGCAGTCAAGTCTCTCGGTTAGGAAATATGCAGTATGCATTATCAGCTGTAATCTTCCAGATTGCTCTTGTACGCAAAACAAAAACAGCGGTCACTTCACTATACTTAGGGGAACTAGGGGCAAGAAGGTCACCCTCAATATATCTTGAAAATGAAAACATTTCAATCCTATCTCACCATGAATCAAATCAAAGCATGATATTCCTATACAGTATTCTAGACACTTTTGTCCAAATCGAAGTAGTAAAAAAAAAATTCAAAAAAAAAAATCATTTTGTGGTGTTGTATTGAAAAGGTTTTCACAATTTCTGCATTCAGACGTCACAATTGATGATTAATTGAAACATTAATAACAATCAATTATTAAATATTTCCTTTAATTGATCAAAAATCATATTCCTTGAAATAAACTTTATACGGGGCAAGAGTACCACCCCTACATTTATGTACAAAATTGTATAAACATGTTCACAAATTAGCACAATGGGGCATTTATGTTTCCAATATTCATTGTTTTCGTAAAATTTGCACTGAATAAAATATTATCAAACATAAAATATATCGTTAAATCAATATTTTTGTGGAATAAACAATAAAAGCAGTTGCTGGCAAACTTAGGAATCGTAATTTGTTGTTTATAAATGAACATTTTATCAGTTTCACTCATTTTAGACCTATGACCTTTTCGCCCCATAAGAGTGGCCCTCTTGACCCATAGCAGGTACGACATGACATTTTGAAAAAAATCCTTGACATTTTTTTATAGGGTTTAATTTTATTTTCAATTATAATACATAGAGACGATTTGGTGCACAAACTTCTATAAATATTCACGGAACCGCATATAACAACGCACTATCGTTAGGGTGACCTTCTTGCCCCTAGTTCCCCTACTTCTACATATATGTATTGCAGTGTTGTGCATTTATGTAGTAGTGGTACAACTACACAAATAGCACCATGAACAGTTCGCTTGGTCTTTGATATTCACTCAACAACAGTGGTTGTGATGATTGAGTTGTGGACATTTTTTTTTTCTAATTAATACATAAGTTTAAAAAAAAAGTTATGCTACTATCCAATCACCACTTATTACCACCCATCATACATCATTTACCATTAAATTACTGTGCAAGTACCGTGTTAAATAATGTTCTTCTTTTAACTGGCTTTGACGCTCTTACGAGTTCAACAGCTATTAATTGAGAGCTTTCTATGCCAACCAATGCATGAATTTGTATATTGTGTGGCAAGTACAATGATACCTTATGCCCAGGGAAGTCGAGAAAATTTCCAATCCGAAAAATTAATGTAGGGTAAGGTGAGGCAAGATGGGTCATCTACTTGATTTATTTATTGTTTTTATTGAACTTGTTGATTTTGACAAACAAATAAATTGATAAATGTACTATCTGAACCATCTTGCCATTTTGCTTTATAACTGTGCCTTCACTGATTGAGCTAATTTAGTGCACCATTTCACGGAAAGTCATTTGGTGGTGTATACCATTTCGCAGAAAATTATAATGCGGTATGTACCAATTTGCGCTAAACCACATTGTTTAAATCATTTTAGGTGTTTTCTACAAACTTGGAAATACTGAGCTCAAAATCAGATTATTTTCAAACGATTTGGGCTAATATTACAATCGGAGTGACGTTTGGGCAATCGAGCCAGTGACATTCGGGTAAATGTTATAGAATCCTTTCAGGGTGGGCTCAGTTTTAAACGCCCAACTACTCACTGCTACTTCTATTTATAAGGTCCTCAAAAACTATGTCAAATTTGAAGGAATTTGGTTGCGGTCTGGATTTGTGCCATAATTTTAAAGTTACTATGAGAAAGCATAACAGAAAAGGATAGAAAGTATAGAGATTTTCACGTCCCGTTGTATTGATGAGATATGTGAGAGCGTGTTAGTGAAAATCCGAGGAAAATACATAACAAATCGCTATCAAACTAATTCATAATTTGTTTTTAGGCTAGTCAGAGGAAAATAATAAAAGACTTTACACGGCGATGCTCATAGCGGCGCCGGTGGTGTAGTGGTAAGCGTGATTACCTCTCATCCCAGTAGGCCTGGGTTCAATCCCAGTCGGCGCCGCTGGGATGTTCTGAGGCATAACATCTCTGATCACGCCTGATCAGGGAAGTAAAGCCGTTGGTCCCGGTTCATGAGTTTGATCGGTCGATAGGTAGGGTCCAAGTGTGGGAGCTGTGCCTCTCTAGGTCTGTAGCATTTTGGTGCTCAGCACGGAAAACAAGATCGACGGAAAACTAATCGAGGAACAAATAGAAAGAAACGGCGATGCTCCCGCTAGTGTGCATGCGGTACACGTCACTAATCTCTATTAATTTGCTTGTCCTAAATGCACACATTTTTTTAATATTACCCATACCTATTATCTTATTTGTACAAACAACTAACACAAGCTATCACCCATATTCTTGTTTTCGTTCGATCCATTCGAACCATACAAAAAAACAGTTCAAACGAAAACAAGAATATGTATATTAGCGGCGCCGGTGGTGTAGTGGTAAGCGTGATTGCCTCTCACCCCAAAGGGCCTGGGTTGAATCCCTGTAGGCGCCGCCGGGATTTTCTGAGGTATAAAATCTCTGATCACGCTGGAAGTAAAGCCATTGGTCCCCGGTCCATGAAGTTGATGGATCGATAGGTAGGGTCCAGGTGTGAGAGCTGTCTCCCTGGCGTCGTGCTACCGAAACTCAGTACGGAAAACAAGATTGATAATCTAATCCAGATATTTCAGGAAATTGGAACTCCGTTCATAGTGACTATGTGACTACTACAAGGTTTCAAAAAGGAAGCTCTGGGCTTATGTGGAAATATTATAAGTGGAGTTTTAGAAGCCTTAGGAGAAATCTTTCAAATAAGAAGAGAAAATATCTAAACTATTCTGCAGTATGCTGCAAATAACAAGAAGAATTCTTCCTTTAGCAGAAATACTTGTGTCATCGGCGAACAAAGATTTGTGGCAACCCTGAGACAAATCAGGGAGGTCCGAAGTGAAAATGTCATACAATATAGGCCAAAGAATGGTACCCCGAGGAACTCCTGCTCTAAGAGGTAGTCGTGCAGATGTGGAATTTTGATAATTTACCTGCAGAGTTCTGTCAGTTAACTAATTTTGAACTTATTTCATGACATAGAGAGGCAAATTATTGTTTTACAATTTGGCAATCAATCCTTTACACTGTCGAATCATTTTTCTATGTCTAGAAGAGCAACTCCAGTTGAGCAGCCTTCAGATTTGTTTGAACGAATTAAATTGGTAACTCTAAATAGTTGATGAGTAGTTGAATGCCTATGGCAAAATCCAAACTGCTCATCTGCAAAAAATGACTTCGTATTGATGTGAAGCATCATTCTATTTAAAATTATCTTTTCGAAAAGTTTACTTATTGAAGAAAGCAAACTTATTGGACGGTAGCTAGAAGCTTCGGCTGGATTTATATCCGGTTTTAAAATTGGAACAACTTTTGCATTTTCCATTTATCAGGAAAGTATGCCAAATGGAAACATCTGTTAAATAGTTGTACCAAGAAAGACAAGGTACTCTCTGGGAGTTTTTTTTATGAGGATATAGAAAATTCCATCATCACCTGGAGCTTTCATATTATGAAATTTTTTAGTTATAAACCTTACTTCGTCCAAATCAGCCCCCCAGGAATCATCAAAAATATTTTCCCGGGAGAAAATATTCAGATAATCCCGAGCAACCTGATTCTCATTAGGACTAGTAAGACCCAAACTGAAATTATGGGAACTCTCAAATTGCTTAGCAAGTTTCTGAGCTTTTTCCAAATTTGTGATCAAAATGTTAGGCTTTTGAGGTTTTTTTCAAAGTTTTTGTGAGTTTCCAGAAGGGTTTGTAACTCGGGTCTAATTTAGAAGCATTATTTTCAAAAGTTTTGTTTCTCAGGACAGAGAATCGCTTTTTAATTCGTTTTTGCAAATCCCCCCAGATACCTTTCATGGCAAGATCGCGTGTTCTTTGATATTGCCTCATACGGACATTTTTAAGACGGATCAAGAGTTGAAGATCGTCTTCTATTATAATTGAATCGAATTTTGGTACTGAGGCAGCTCTTGCTTTAACTATAGAAGTAGTCAGAGATTCAAGAGTATAATTAACATCATCTTTGGTTTGCAAAGGAATGTTTGGATCAAAGCTATATTCCATAAATGTTCGATATTGCTCCCTATCAGCTTCATGGTAATTGAAAGTAGAGCTGTTGGGATTAGAAATTATGTCTTGGGATATTTGAAAAGTTACTGGAAGGTGATCAGAACCGAAGTCAGCATGGGTAACCAATTGGCTACAAAGTTGACATGAATCATAAAATCAATAGTTGAGGGATTTCTTGCTGAAGAAAACCATGTTGGGCTGTTTGGATATTGAATAGTGTAATAACCTGCAGAACAATCATCAAACAGAATATTACCATTGGAATTGCTTTGAGCATTATTCCATGAGCGGTGTTTTGCATTAAAATCACGAATAATGAAGAATTTAGACCTGACGGGTAAGTTTCTGTAGGTCACACTTGAGAAAATGCTTTTGCTGACCTACGCATTGTAATGGCAAATAGGCAGCTATAAACGTAAGTTGTCCAAATTTAATTTCAACAGACACTCCCAAAGTTTCAAAAACTTTGGTTTCAAACGAAGAAAGAATTTTATGTTTGATTCGTCTATGAACAATGATGGCAACGCCACCACATGCTCCATCAAGACGATCATTTCTATAAATGAAATAATTTGCGTCCCTTTTAACCTTATGGCCAGGTTTAAGGAACGTTTCAGTTATAACGGCAATATGCACGTTTTGAACTCTCAAAAAGTTAAATAGCTCGTCTTCATTATCTTTAAGAGATCGAGCATTCCAATTCAAAATATTTAATGATTTAAAATCCATTACTCAAAGTCATGACACACGCAGAAAAATGGATTTTTGTTTCAGGGCCTAATGTATTTTATTATTGATTCAAACATATTCTATCA